TCAGACTGTCACATTGAAAAGTAACCAGTCAGCCGTCTTGGACTATCACATTGAAAAGTAATCAGGCAGCTATTTTTGACTGTCACATTGAATAGCACCAGTCGGCCATCTTGGACTGTCACATTGAATAACCTCCAGCCGTAAATTTTTATTCAGATCATTGTTTTCATGTGCATATATTTCCTACATGTACTACACTATACATTCATCTTGAGTACATTTCAACAGAGTATAAATAGTAAAATTATTATTCCACCTAATATCAAAGCAACCCAACCTAGGTTCCTACACCATTCAAGTGAATGAATGTGCGCTTGTATACATATAATATTATTTGTTATACATAATAGAGTACAATATACTATTTTGTTGCATATACCAACTTCAACTCCTTTATTTCAATATATTTTGCCCACTGCAAACATAAAATAATCTGAAATACATACCACTATACTACTACAATATATCCTAATTATGTACATAACTGTTTTTTGAGCGAAAAATAAAATCTATAACCAGACCCCAAAATAATTTTTGTTCATCCATATTTGTTCATGCTTTGTTCTAATTCTAATAGAGAATAACACTGCATGATGAAGTGGTAAAGGGCGACAGTCAATCAGAACAATAATTCATTTGGAAAATAAATACAATTATTATCAGTGGTACATACTTCTACATATATTAATTTCCGGGACTTGTCTGATTGCACCTGTACTGTATGTATGCATGTACTGTAAAATAACTAATTTTCACTGGGTTTAAATTTCGCTGATTTACCATTTCAGGCATATTCAATGGGTTTTAAATTCACGGTTTTATCATTTAGATAATGTGTTCTATGCTAAATTTTAAATATTCACTGGGTTTTCATTTAGCGCATTTTCCAGTCAGCAAAATAAGCATAATTAAAACCCAGTGAATAATTATCCCTTTTACAGTATGTACATCCAATGATCTTTAGCTCATGAAAATTTCAAACTTTTGATTGACTTCTAAGAATTTTTAAAATTTGTTGTGAACTATTTTAGTGATAAACTCACAAAAACTATCATAAAATCAGAGAAAACTTAGAAGAACTCATGTGTGCGAAGAGCAATGGAGGCATAATAAAAATTAATTAAAATTTTAGATTAGCCTTTTAAGCTTGGCAACTAATATTTGTTATTGTTTATTGATTGTTTATGCAAATCACAGAAAATAAATTTGATTGTACATCTGTGGTTTGCAGTTTAATTTATTCCAGAGTACCTCTGCAACAAGGTTCAATTAAATCTGATTTTAAGAGATAAAAAAATTGGCTAACAATAATTAGAAAATCATTATGCATGGTTTGCAACATTAAACTAATCATGTCCCACAGAGCATCTTTGAAATGTGACGATTATGCAATTAGTATGCTCAAACTTTAAATTCAAATGCACAGATTTTAATTCAAAATCAAAGAAAGCTTAGAAAGAACTCCCATGTGCTGAGAGTATTGGAGACACATTAAATATAATTCGAAATTACTTAGCTGAAAACTAATTATGCAAATCAGAAAATTAATATGACCAGATTTGAGTGTAAAACTAATGAGGTCTGCACAATGTAACAGAAAATCTATGTCTCCAAGTTTAATTGAAATGTGATTAGAACCAAAAAATTATGAATTATTATGCTTATTAGGGAATTAATATGAACAGATTTTTACCCCAAACTAATTAGGTTTGTACATTGTCCTAGAGCAAAGTTTCATTGAAATGGAATAATTAGTACCGTGAAAACTCCAAAATTTCGACCCCTCTAAAAATTCGATCGCCTATTTATTTGCCGGGTTTCGGTGTTTTATTTACCTCCAAATTTTCGACTCCACTAAAAATTGCCGACTCATTCTTATTCGAAAATTGCGACCAGTTTTAGTTTTCCCCCAAACGAAAAAAAAAACGATGTGAGCGTTCAAACGGGACCTTCCTCAAAGGCATGAATCCGGGTTTCTGATTGACTGAGAGATTTTTATTTTATTGGTAACGAAAATATATTCTAAATAAACGAAGTTTCAAATAAAAACGAAC